AAGAAAGAAGAGGCTTGGTCTTGGCTCTGCACGTGGTTATATACCTTGTCTCTTAATTTGCATAATAATGGATCTTTAAAACGTGGGCGCCTTGCGCATGCGCAAGAAAGTACGCATAATAAGGGTATAATATGGAGTATGGTGAAAGAGAATTGCTGGACGTTTCGACGCGGATATCCTGTCATCATTTTCAACAACTGATCACTGATACAAAGATAACTAAGAACGACGGCCCTTTGTAATCGAAAAATGTAATTTGTCTTTTACCTTTCTTCTTAATGGCGTGAGGCGGTGATGATAATCTGTCATGAGCCTGCAGTGTTTTGGTGGTCAGCTGTACCTTGGGTTTTCTTTCGTTTTCATAGTACTTTAAAATAAAAGTTTATCTTGTAAAATCATCAGTTCATCCTGCCCCACCCATCCACCAATTTTTCCGCCCATTTAACCGTTCCATCCCCCCTCCCACCCATCATTAGCCCAACCATCGACTCATTAGTGTACCTACCATTAGTTCCTTAACTGAGGAGGTATCTACGAGCTGGTTAAAACTGTACTCTTCATTTCTCTCAATTAACCTAGAAAAAAGCAGTCAAAATCTTCAAAAAATTGTTTTAGAATTACGTCGKATAGGGAGGTCCTTGCGTTGGATTAATTTGAAGTATTCGCTCAGAGCCCCTCTTTTCTCGACAGATTGGCCTCCAAAAACGAGTTTGGATTTATAGAATAATTTCTGTTTTCCCATAGCGCATGCTCAGGCACATTTTGTTGTTTTTCGACCTCGTCTCCAAAGTCCGCGTTTCTCAAGGTGCTTGAGGTGCTAACGATGAGAAAAACAGGCTCTAAGAATGAGAGTGTGAGAAAGGTGTTGACAATAAAAAACCCAGGCTCTGGCAACGAGTATAAATAGTTATTTCTCCTTTTAACTGCGCATGTTCAGGCAAAATGTCTGTTTCTCGATCTCGATCCCAGAGCCTGCGATTGTTATGGTCAGTAACGGGTGGAGCGAGAGTTGCTGACCATGAGGAACGCAGACTCTGATATTGGCTATTTCTTTGATGCGCTTATACCTTTGTGTGGCTGCTCTGTTGGCCAGCGCATGTGAGAACATGGTGAGGAGTTTATTTCGTGTGTCGCGCTTGGCTTCTTCTTTCCTCTGTATTTCTAATTCTCTTTCAATCTGATTATAAAAAAAGCATTCAAAAAGAATGAGTATAACACAGTGTTGTCACGTCACACGGCACGGTCACGGTCACATGTTACCCGGCCTCATCCACTAAGGATGATATAACCGTCATGTGTCACAGTATTGCATGTCTTTACAATAAGAGTGCGTGGAATCAATGCTTACACAATGATGATGCTATAACACAGTGTTATCACGTCACACGGCACGGTCA